CCTTTAAACTGTGGGGTTTCTCTGGAAGTTTTTCCTTGTACGATGTGAGGGTCTAAGGACAGAGGGTGTCGTATTGTCATACTGATATTCTGTACAAACTGTGAAGTGCACTGAGACAAATGTAACATTTGTGATATTGGGCTATATAAATAAACATTGATTGATTGGTGTGTGTGTGTGTGTGTGTGTGTGTGTGGCCAGGAAGCGACCCAGGAAAGAGCAGCAGCAGCAGGAGGTGGAGGAAGTGGAGGACCTGATGGCTGCAGCTACACCCAAGAGACGAGCCATTAAACTGTCCAGCATCAAAGAGCTCAGAACTGAGATCACTGAGAACACACACAAAGGTAAACACAACATCTGTTACCGATAAACTGTAGAATTTTAGGAGTGACTCCTTGCTGTCTAGCTCACTCCCATCTCCAAATCTCACAGTGATTTTACTATCTGCTCATTCACCCATCAACACATTTTTCCTCTTTTAAGTATGCACTTTTTTTTCCTCCAGGCCTTCAAGAAATGTTGCAGAACCACTCGTTTGTGGGCTGCGTCAACCCTCAGTGGACTCTGATCCAACATCACACCAAACTGTACCTGCTGAACACCACCAAACTCAGGTCAGAGCCACAGCAGCTCACTGTTCTGTTAGTAGTTGGAATAGTTTAAAACTGTTAATCAGTGTATACTGTACTGTAAACCAGTGGTTCCCAACCGGGAGTACTGGGACCCCCAGGGGTACTTGAGGGGATTGTAAGGGGGTATGTAGAAAGATTAGGGATTGCAATATATTTCCACACAAAAAACATTTTAAAATGAATTTGCATAAGCCTGGTGTCCTGCACAAGTGTCTCATTAAAAGCTCTTAATATAAGCAGTTGAAACTGCTAAAAGTGAGTTTGGTTAAATATGATTACAAAGGGTTTAACACAAGAAAACATGTAGGCGAATCATGAGTGAGGGGGTACTTATAGAATGGAGACCAGCTCAAGGGGTACACGCAAAAAAGGTTGGGAACCACTGCTGTAAACGGTTGATGGGGGCAGCAGAACAATTTATTTTAGCCCCCTAAAGAAAGTCCAACCAAATATAATGAATATCAGTTTAAGTGTACAGTCAGTTTGGAATATTCCCCCTCCTTCATCTCGCCTTCAGACAGTCTGGGAAACCACATCCTGTATGTTTTACAGCCACCAGACTCCATCTACAAAAACTGTAATATTAACACTAGAGTACGGGAGTTGCTGGTGTATCGCTGCCTCGACCACTTTGTTTTTGTGTGTTTTACCAAACCGGATTTACCACATCACACAATAACACAGACTAACTTATTGATCGAGGCAGCATTAGACCAGCAACTCCAGTATTCTACAAGGTAATATTAGCGTTTTTGTTAATGGAGTCTGGCGTCTTTGAAGCATAACAGCTTCAGTTCTGTCTGAAAGGGCTGTCTGATGGCAAGGTAAAGCGGGGAAAATATTCTAAATATAGCACACACTTAAACTGATATTGATTATTTTTATCTAGACTCATAAGTACAGCATGCAACCCCGTTAAAAAAAACATGTGAAGTTATTTCAGTCAGCTACTTTATTTCCCATATGATTCATTTTTTTATTCTTCTGCAGCCAGGAGCTTTTCTACCAAATACTCATCTACGACTTTGGGAACTTTGGTGTATTAAGACTATCTGTAAGTATTACTGTTTTTTGAGAATCATTAGTATATAGTATATTGTGCAGTTTCTGATTGATATGCCTGATAATGTGCACTCAGACCCCAGCTCCACTCTACGACCTGGCCATGCTGGCTCTGGACTCTGAGGAGAGCGGCTGGACAGAAGACGACGGCCCTAAAGAAGGCCTGGCTCAGTACATAGTGGACTTCTTGAAGAAGAAAACTGAGATGCTGGGGGACTACTTCTCTGTGGAGATAGACCAGGTCTGTGGTATTAGGACAGTGATTGTCCTCTAAAAACACACAAAGTCTCCAAATACATTTTCCATGCAAATGTCTTTCTATGGAATACCGGAGGGAAGTTTCTAAGTATGATACTTTATTTTTTGAGTTAAGAATAGGGTAAAAAAATAAGTTTGGGTTGGTGAAGTGAGTTTAACCATTCTCAATGTCCTCTAAACACAACGTACACATTTAGTTATTAGAATGTAACATCAAATTAAAAAATGTTGTCCTATTTTTAAAACATGCAGTCGTTGCATTTCAGCCTTTTGTGACCAGAATAAGAATAATTACTGATGAAAATGATCCTGACAACTTTTCCACCCGTTTCCTACATGAGAAAAAGTAAAGGTGCTTAATGAACTATAGAGCATTTCTTAGATAAGAATGTATTCTTTGTCAGCAAAACATGACATTATCAATCTACTTTTACACATGCTTTAAATCTGATCTTTGTACATTTTAGGAAGGGAATCTGACTGGGCTGCCGTTACTGCTCGACAAGTACACCCCGGTGATGGAGGGTCTCCCCATGTTCATCCTGCGCCTGGCCACTGAGGTGAGTATCTTTCTGCGCCGTTATGGTGAGATTCTGGAGATGAACTGTATCTGAAGGTTTGTGCTTGGTGGTGTTGTGCAGGTGAACTGGGACAATGAGAGAGAGTGCTTCAGAGACTTCGGTAAGGAGTGCAGCATGTTCTACTCCATCAGGAAGCGCTACATCCTGGAGGCCGAGCCCGGAGAGGAGCAGGTGGGGACTCCGCATTTTTGAGGAATAGTTTGAAGTAGGGTTGTATGAGGTACTTATTCCTAGTCAGTGCTTTCCCCACAATGGATGGTGGCTTGCACGCCTTATATTTGGAGAAACAGACAGGAATACTGGGAATGCTAAGAAATGTTCTTCTATTGACTGTGCCAATAACATAGTGTGATATAGCCACCTTTTAAAAAACATATTCAGTATTAATTTAGTGTGTCTTTATTTAGAAAAGTATGCCGTGTCCCCAGACGGCTTCTCTTTTCAATGCAACTTCAAGTTCAAGCAACTTACAAACAAAAGCTTCGTTCTTTAAATCCCCCCCGACTCCATTGACAAACAGACTAACTTAAAGTTGCAGAAGACAGGAGTTTTTGGTGTACTGCTTCTTCCATCAGTTATTTTGTTTATGTTATAGCTTGATAACACAAATGCACTAACCAAACAAGGTGTCACTCAGTAGACCAGCGGCGTCTGTGTTCTGCAGGATAAAATGACTGTTTTTGTCAATGGAGTCTGGTGGCTTTGAAGAGAGCAATGCAACTGCCTAAGTTATCTTATCAGTAAAGGCTGTCTAACGCGAAGTAGAGTGCTGTGAGTATTCTAAATTTAGCGTACACTTAAACATACATTTTTCCCCTGCCCCTGTACCCATACTCCTGCCTGCTTCTCTATTGATAACTACCTCATACTCCCAACAGTCCTGTTCACTTCCTTTGATTCAATAGAATATGAATGCTAAAGAACTGACATGTGATGTTTTTTCAGGAGGCTGAGGTGAACTCATGGCGATGGAAAGTCGAGCACGTCATATTCAAATATTTCCGAACCCTCTTCAGTCCTCCGAAGAACTTCAGCGAGGACGGCACTGTGCTGCAGATCGCCAACTTACCCGACCTCTATAAAGTGTTTGAGAGGTGCTAACGGATACTCAGTCCAACCAAACATGCTGCTCCTTTATGTAACATTTGTGCTGTAAATAAATACTTTGTGTAAAACAAGGCTCCAGATGTGTCTTTGGAGAGAGACACCATATTCCATGATGTCATAGTTAATCCTAAAAAGCCCATTCAAATGTGCCAAGGCTACACATGGTTTCCTAAAAGTAAGACCTGGGAGAGGCAGCCAGGAAAAAGTGAATCAGGGTCACACATCCCATAAGGTTACCGGCACAGTGCCAGCACATTAGCTGGGCTTTTACTGCAGCTACATTTCAGTCTAAGACACAGGAAGTGTGGAGGATTAGCGCTCGGTGGGGAGGAAATAAACACCGCAGCTAATTGTTCCACTTTATGGACTTTAATGTAATCATACGTTTGTAACACATTTAAGCCTGGAAAATTGAAGGAACCTGTATTACAGTAGGCTTTTTGGGGTTTTCCATTTCCTGTAGTGTGTTATAGGTTATTGTGCATTTCAATGTTCTGCAAAGACTAAAATCCCAAAGTTCCCTCCAGAGGGAGTTTCTCTCCCACACACTCCCAGTGCCTGAAACGCCTCCATTGGACTCCTTTGTTTACTTCCGTAACTTAGTGACATCACTATGTAAGGTGCGGGACATCTCTAAAGGGGTTGACCAATCACAACAGAGCAGGCCAGCTAACCAATCAGAGCAGACTGGGCTCTGGTTTCAGACAGAGGGTGAAAAGAGGTGCTGCAGCACAGGCAGTATGAGGAAAATAAAGAGCTTTTTGAACATTAAAGCATGGAGACATGTCACAGAGGCACAACATACAAATATGAACCTGAAAATGAGCATCATAGGGCCCCTTCAAAGTAATGCCAATTAATGCAATTAGGACCATAAGTCAAAAACAGCGCTAAGTGAAACAAGACAACCTCGGCTTTGTTAAAACAACTTGCAGAACTGCAAAATAAATACCTAATTTCACCCCTTTTAATGTCAATGAACAATGCTGTTCCCTAAAGCAAGAGGTAGTCACTTCGAGATGGCTGACCAACACATGTCCCTAGCAGGAGTGAGGCATGGGGGTGTGATAAGCGTGTTAATAGAAAGGCACCAGCGTGTGGTGTTTGTTGAAACCATGCAGGAGGGCGGTGGTTTTTAGGTGCTCACCGCAGGGCTGCTGCGGGTGGAGCTAGCTACAGCATAATATGCCCGCTTTAAATGAAGAACCTGCAAAAGTATTTTCCTGTCTTATGAAATAGCAACTGAGGGTTCATTTTCCGGAAACCAATGCAAAATGAACAATACAGAGTATAATGATACTACAACGGTAAAAAGCAAAACTGCACACTGAACAAAATAAAGGATTCAGATTGTATACACAGTTCTGTAAATTACACATTTATTCTCAAGAAATCTTTTAAATATTTGAAAATGTTCAATGAAACCGCAGCAGACACAGTTGGTTCTACATACATTTCAAATAATGACTGCACCTTTTTTTAAATACATCATTCTGTACCTGTTAAAACGATTATTGTTTTTATTCGTGGAGCCGTGCGGACCCCCGATCTCCGAGTGTGAAAAGGCACTTCACTGTGAGGGGAAGCCGGGAAGGTGCGGCGGGGCGGAGCAGCCGTGAGAGTTGAAAAGTTTAAAAAGCATCATAATATTCATTCATGCAACTTATCAAAAACAAACAAAGAGTACAGCCAAGCACCCAGCCAGAGAGTGAAGATCTGTGGATAACAAGATGCAGTACAAAGCTCTGAACATTAAGTAGTGATTAGAGATTCCCTCGGATGTATCTCCCAGCAACTTAATAGTTTTATTAGTTTGTTTCTGAGTCATTCCTCCCAAAGCAGCGGCGGCTTGCCAGGCAAAACCAACGCTTCCGTTAAAAAAAAAAAAAAGAGAAGACAGTTCCGTTTGTCGCCTGTGCTACACCTTGTTTTTCGTTTTTAAAGTGTTTTTGGTTAGCTACAAATCTCAAAAGTGTTACAGCTAAAAATGGAAATGTGCTCCAGACACAATATGGCAGTCAGAGGTCTGAGGTGCGAGTTTAAGGGCTTCTGTGGTGACGCTGCCTTGCCTCACTGCTGCGACAGGAGGGCGTTCCTGTTGGCCTTCATCTTCTCCAGACGCTTCACTAGGTGGTTGTTGGTCATCTCCATCTCCTCGTTCTTATCCAGAGCCATGCGCAGCTGCGGGGGAACAGAGGGGGGGATGTTACACTCTAAACTTCTTCTTTTACCGTTTCATTTGACAAAGTCCAAGTCTTTACCTCTCGTTGAAGTCGCCGTTTTTCTGTTTTTAGTTCGTCTTCTACTTTCTCTGAACTATCTGCTGATGCCTTGTACCTGGACACTTGCCCTTCAAGTCTGTTTATCTGGAAAACGGACACATAAAAGAAAGACTTGATGAATTAGAGCCCAGAAATGTACTACTTTTAGAAATCTGTTTGAAAAGACCTTTTCTTTTCACTTACATTTTGTTCCATTGTTCCTAATTCCTGTTCTGCTTTAGAAAGCTTGAATTTGTATTCACTCATCTGTCTGTTGGAATCTCCTGCAGACAGAAACACCAACCGGTGAGTTTAAAAAAATACAAAAAGAAGTGTTCAAATGTGTTGTTGTGCTGGACCAACTTACTCTGCATCTCGATGATGTGCAGGTCTGTACCGTTCTCCATCCTCTCTCCGTCTGTGTATGCGCTGTCCATCTTTGAGTGTTTCTGCCTCTCCTCCTCCAGCTGGTTCTTCAGCTTCCTGATCTGAGCCAACAGTTCATCTTTCTCCTCCGCCAACTTACGTAGCCTGACATCTACGGACAAGATGGAAAACACATTAAGCTCAGGCAATTTAAGAAGTCAAGCTGAGTGAACTGGAGTGTGTCCAGCGTGCTAAAACACAGTCACTTGTTTATAAATGTCTTGCGTCTAAATGAAGTGTTGCAGGGATGACTATATATTCGGCCAACCTGGAAGTTAGCTCGCAAGGGCTAACAAAGATTGTATTTGTGTATATCAGAAAATAAGATTAGTGGCAAACACATTTTTATGACTTGTTTGACTTGATGTGTAATCTCCACACATTAAGATTTTAACACACACTCAAATGTTAAAGTGTAAATGCAACAGCTGAGAGAAAAAGGCTACCATTAGGCTACAAACTAACTACATCACGGTCATATGACTTCACATCACCACCGCCAAGCTAAAGGTGGCTAATGTTAGCTGTGTTGGTATTTAAAAGTCTCTGTTAGCCACCTGCTAGCATTTCCCAGGTGTAAGGACTCGTTCTTGCTTTACACACCTCTTAGATTTAGGAACGTGTGTAAACAGAATGCTTTCCGTGACTCACCCAAAGGACCCTCCCCGGCAGACTCCAGCACCTGCGCGGCCTCCTGGGAGACCACCGTGATCCCCGAGGACAGAGGCTCGTGGTTCACATCTCCATTGGGTGTTCCGTCGGGGATGATGACCAGCCCGTGTTTCTGTGGCGAGAGAACACGCGTTACTGAGGACCGGCTCACTTCTTGTATAACACAAACCCCCCCCACCAAACATAGCCGACTTTGTGGAGAAAATCCAAAAGAAACCACCTATTTATTACCTTACATGCTTTGTAATGTTGTCCTATAAGTATTGTTAAACTGCAAAGATAATATAAGCATAAAGTCATCTGTGTGTCAGAGGTTGAAGAGTGTCCATGTGAAAATCTGTTAACAGGTATGTTAAAAAAAGGTACCCAACGTGAGGAATAGATGTTATTCTGTTAAAAGGGTATTTGTAGTTCACTTAAGACATTTACATTTCTTATTGAATTTTTGTTTTTGTGAAGCCTTTACCTACAGTAGTAGTAAGATGGTTGCATACCGGAATATCCTTTTTAAAATGTATACTAACATTTTAAATGAATATGTTTTTGTTTTCCCTTTAATTGACTGCCTTATTTTTATTCATTTAATTTTATGTGCAATCTTTTGGAATATTGAATTGAATTTGATTTGATTAGGTAAACCCTTGCAAAAGTACAGCCTAAAATAAATAACAAGGGTCTGCACAAAGTACTGAAAAGTCATTGGTCTATGTTTGGTCAAATGTAGGGATGCACAATATATAGATGGCCAATATATGACTGGCTGATAATGAAGTTATCAATTGGCGTTATAATTATTTAATTTCAGCATATTATCGACGTCTAATAATAATGTGGAGCATGGCTGAGTTGTGATTTCTCTGCTCTCTAGGTCACAGTTGATATGAGGATGAGCTCCATACACACACAGTGGACTTTGGATCAGAGAGGCCACAGAGCAGTGAGGGTATATTTTACTAGAGTCCTGTAAAATACTGGAGAATCTGCCAGAGAGGGAGCGCAGAACATGATCTCACTGAGATGTGACTTCTTCGACCGCGCTGCTCCCAGCCAACTTCCTGCCCTATCCCAACTCCCTGCCCTATCCTAACTCCCTGCCCTATCCCAACTCCCTGCCCTATCCCAACTCCCTGCCCTATCCCAACTCCCTGCCCTATCCCAACTCCCTGCCCTATCCTAACTCCCTGCCCTATCCCAACTCCCTGCCCTATCCCAACTCCCTGCCCTATCCTAACTCCCTGCCCTATCCTAACTCCCTGCCCTATCCCAACTCCCTGCCCTATCCCAACTCCCTGCCCTATCCCAACTCCCTGCCCTATCCCAACTCCCTGCCCTATCCCAACTCCCTGCCCTATCCCAACTCCCTGCCCTATCCCAACTCCCTGCCCTATCCTAACTCCCTGCCCTATCCTAACTCCCTGCCCTATCCCAACTCCCTGCCCTATCCCAACTCCCTGCCCTATCCCAACTCCCTGCCCTATCCCAACTCCCTGCCCTATCCTAACTCCCTGCCCTATCCTAACTCCCTGCCCTATCCTAACTCCCTGCCCTATCCTAACTCCCTGCCCTATCCTAACTCCCTGCCCTATCCTAACTCCCTGCCCTACCCTAACTCACAGACAGTCTGCTCTGTACAGCTATATGTTGTTAGTTATGCTTAAGAAATATTATTATGAGTGAGTTAAAGAATACTTTGTTTTTGCAGGTAACGGCTCAATTAGCTATGCATCTTAAAATTAGCTGAACTTTTGTGGACTTTGAGGCAGAGATCAAGCAGCCTTTCATCTCTACCAGCAGCATGATGCCACAGGAGCTATCTATGATGACACAGATAACATTTAAGTAGTAATAAGATGTAATTCTCATGATTTTTGTAGCATATACACACTTATAAAAGTAGCAGTGGTTATTGTATCTGCTACAACATATACCAGTTAATTATCGGTTGCTGCTATATAGTATATTGTAGTATATTGAAATGTCGACAACATTTTTTTTAAATGTACACTCCTGGAGGTGCATTAACCAAACCCTAAAGGTCCAACATAAAAACACTTTGTATTATTTGAAAGCAGCATGCGTCAGGACTTTCCTAATCAATACATTTTTTGTCAGAATACTTTCACTATATGTCGAGTCTCCGTTTTAGAAAAGCATTCTATATCTGTTGTACAGTCATATGCAAAACGACACCATTTGAATTGACAATACACTTAATAAATAACACATCCAGCCTTAATGTCACATAGTACACTGCAGACAGGGTCAGGTGGCTTAGGGAAAACCAGCAAGTATTGAAACATAAAATGAAATGAAAACAAAGAAGCAGAAGTGCAACACAATAGAAGGTCTGACGGCATTAACTTGTTTAGTTCCAACAGAAAAATACATACAAAGTTGATTTTGGCCAGCAACTCATTTTATAATCTTTTGTTTTCCTTAAGGAAGACGTACCTCTCCTGCTTTGGCCTTCCCCTTGATGTCAGAAAGCTCATCTCTGAGCTCGTCTCTCTCACTCCTAATGCAATCAAAGTACTCTTTCTGCCTCTCTAGGGCCTGGCCACACACACGGAGAGGAAGAGGAGAAAGAGGCAGAGGAGAAGTTGGAAGGACTCTGGAGGACAGACATGCAACACCACGTGCTACAGGAGGACATCACCGTGCACACACATGCACATCGAGGATGTAGAAACAAACACACAGATGACAAAGTTCAAAGGTGTGGAGGAGGAAAGAGAAGGAAGATGTTGGGAGGTAGATCGGTTTGACTTTCTCAAATTAACCATATAATCATTATGCTTTATTTACTTAGACCTCTATCACCTAACTAATGAACAGATCCACAAGTGTAACATGCATATCGTGCCTGAATATGTGGATAATACTTCTTTACATTTGTAATTCACTTGATTATCCTACATGTGTTATGTCACAGTAAGCTTCTACATGGTGCTGGTGCGCTTGCATTGTTAGCCGGGGTCACAGGATCCAAACCAAAACCTGTTATTTGGACATGCACAATTCCAAACTGTGAGAGTAAATATGTCCAGGTAAAGCCTAAAGGGTCTCCATCATGCAGAGACAGCATGAGAGGCAAAAGAGGTGGGTAAAACCATGTCTAAAAGGTCGGGGAAAAGCCCAACCCTCTTTTGCCCCCCGTGCTCTGTCAGAGCACCCGAGGGGACCTCCTACCCCGATCTTTTTGTCCTTCCAGTTTATGGTTTCCTGCAGGTCAAACACCTCTCTGGTGAGGGCGTCTAACTTAGTCTGCATTCGCTGGCTCTCCTGGAGCGGCGTGGAGAGACGACACAATACAGGATAAGAAGAGAATAGGAAATATTGAATGGAACAAAGACAAAAGAAGGGAATATGTACATAAACACAGACACATCAGGGTCTCCGTTGTCCTGGGATTACTGCTTTTCTTAACCGGGAAAATCTCCCTTCAGTTATTAAAGACGTAACAAAGAGGGTCTTTAGCAGAATGTTTTAACTGGCTGTTTTTGGACCGAGTTCTGTGAAATGTGCTTTATTTACTTAGTTTGGTAATGTGGGTAAGTTAACAACTAGAAACTACAGTATGCTTGGGATTGAGTCACTTAAGCTCAGCAACATACTAAATAAATGTAGAGAAAGAAACTGTCAGTATTCTCATTGCCATGAAGTCTGTTAGAGTTCTGTATATTGGCAACTTCTGTTTAAAGGACCCTCATGTGAAAAATGTAAATAAGAGAGAGAGAGACTGGCAAATATTAACGTTTGCTCTGCAAAGGGTCCACATCCTCCATGTAGCCTGCCTCGATTTGGAATTTAATGTATAAGCAAAAGCAACCTGCTTTTCAACAGAAATATCACATAAAGTGTGATATCATTCTTTATTTAGCCTGCTGATCAAATGTTTACATTTTTATAAGGATCATTTTGGGGGCTTTTAATTCTATTTGAACTGCAGATAGACAGAAATGGAGAAGAGCGAGTGGGCGATATGCAGCAAAGGGGCCCAGGTCAGATTTGAACCTTGGCCGCTGCAGTAAGGACCAAACATGGGTCAACGGCTCAACCTGAGGCAGCAGTAGTTACAAAAACACAGATCATATTTGACCAGAAATCCTCCCATTTGCCCAGGACAATCGGGCCGGCTGACTTATCTTGGAAACGGAAACCCTGATATGAGATACACAAATGAGAGATAGGAGCAGGTGAAACAGGGTAAGAAGAGACTCGATTGAGGAGAAACTGCTGAGAAAGCAATGAATGATAGTGTTCAGCGTCAGATAGGAAACGGAGCTAAATGTCAGAAGGGAAAAGGGAGGACCCTCAGAGGCAGGCCGGTGCCAATCAATCCTTATCAAGTTCCTGCAGAACAGAGGCTCCTCTGCAGCCTGCTCAGAGGCAGCGACACCTTTCACAGTGCTGAGGGAGAGCAGTGTGATGTGGTCACGCTGGCAGAAACAGCTGTACTTCTAGTGTCTTACCTCTATAAGCTCATCTCTCTGGCGGATTCCCTCTTTCAGCTCGTCCTGTTTATGCTGCAGGACCGTACACGTGTGCTTTTGTCTTTCTAGGTCCTGGAAACATGGACATATGATCATTTGTACGTGTACCTTAATGAAATTGATTTAGAATAAGCTTTCTTTGACAGATGCATTACCTTTGACTTGTCTTCCAGCTCCCTCTTCATCTCGGACATTTGTTCCTCCATCTCCTCGATGACGTCCTTTAGTGTGTCCACCTGGTAGATGAAGTTGCCTTTGTCGTTGTCCAGCTGTGCGTTCGATACCATGGCTTTCTTATACTTCTCCTCCACCTCTGCAAGTGACTCCTGATAAAAGGTTGGAGCATGTTAATAAGCAGAGTAAACGGGTTCAAAGCACAGCTCACCTACAGAACATGCACCAGGTGGGGTTTCTGGTTTAATAATGACAAATGTAACACACACTAAACACGTATCTTTGTGTTTCCCAATGTAAGACATCATTCTAGCCCATTTGTGGTATCATTCTATTTTAAATGGAGGACTAATAATGTGGTGCGAGTTAATCCTGCAGTTATAAGAATGCCTTGAGTCAATTTCTTTAGTGAAACAAGGCGATGGTGTGAAAAAGGGATCTGAAAGAGAGAACTAAAAGTGGACAATAAGATCTAATGTCAAACTCTACCAAGAACAAGCCAGGACTAATTGGTTAGTAAACTACTTGTATCTATAAGATACACACTTTCTAAGAGAATGAGAAAGTGAAAGGGACAGCCAGAAGGCCATCCAACACTGTGGCCTGGGTGGAGAGAACTTTAGATTGTAAAGCATGACTGTTATCTGTCAGCAGGTGGAGCATTTTAACTCTTCTTCGGACAACTTTGAACCCAGTGGAATTGTGGGAGTGTCTTCGTGTCAGGCCACAAGCAGTGAGTTGGATCAAAACAGGAAGTGGAGGGAAGATCATGCAAAAAGAAGGACCATTACGCAATTCAGACTGGGAGCACGCAAAGACAGGGCTGTGGTGTTAGGAGCTACAGGAGGGGGGGTATGAGTGGGGTTCTGGAGGGGGGGGGGGGGTTAGTGGTGCCATACTGCTCCCAGAGAAAAAGAGAAGGCATGCTGCGAGCTCAAGCCCCTCTACCTTCAGCTCTTTAAGCCCTTGCATGTACCGCCCTTCTACATCCTGAATCTGGTCCTTAAGTTCATAGATATCCTGTAGAGCAGATGGGAGGAATGGTTGGGGTGAACCGGGGTATCAGAGAGTCAGGGGGGGGGGGGGGGGGTATCAAGGAGAGATAACAAAGCACCCGTGCTGCAAAAACAATCCAGCTGGCAGACACATGACCAGCGCACCCAGAAATAAGGAACATCTCAGGAAACATGTCACATCCGTAAAGAAAGAAGCAGAAACAGCAGGGAGGACACAACAGAAGAAACGCTGTGGGAGCTTCATATGAAGAAGGGACAGATGTATACAGAACATGTGAATTAGCATTTTAGCTTGATGATAATGTGATTGATGGCAACTACAGCAAGTCAAATTGAATCCACATGCTATTTTTTTTCAGTTTATTCAGCTGCAGTAATAGAAGGGTGACAGTGTGTGTGTGTGGTACACCTTACCCTAAGTTCACTCAGACTGGTGTCGGCGTCATAGATGCTCCCTGTGTCCGTGCTGCCCCGCCGTGACGACGAGCCGCCCAGCGACGCCAACGTGGCCACTGAGAGGCCTGGGGTGGCGCATCGGGAAGATGGCTGAGAAGACAGAGAACCACAGAACATTAGTCAGGAAAGAAAACACAATGCAACACATTCACAACTTGGACATCATGTGATGCCGCCGGGCTCTCAAAGTGATAGCCACTGATCGCTTGAAGCGGTACTGTGAGGTACTTTCGTGTTTTACGTGGTTGGTTTGAGATGAATCAAAGTCACACAATTAAACTAACTAACCGATCGAGGCGGTGGTTAACCAGCAACCTGATGATGCATCTTTTATGGAAGCCTCTGTGTTTGAATGCTGACTTGTGTATGTAAAAGCTCTTCCAGTTGTTAATAGACAAGAAGAAGAAGGTTGACCTTTTAATCTCTGTGATCTGCGCAGTAAAAAAATGTTGTCAAAGGATTCTGGTGCTTTTAATAACAGAGATACAGGCTTCTGTTATTCTTCTGAAAATGCTTTCAGGTTTAAGAGGTGGAAATGTGCTAAATTAAGCATAGAAAATAAACTGATATCCAGGTTTGAAGACGGCCATCTTCTGTAGTACACTGACTAAGTACCAACAAACCCCTACTTTTAATTGATCCCGCCAAATTGAAATCCTCCTGTCATGTGTTCAAGTGTTTTGCTACTAAACTTTGTGTATAAAACCCAGATAATACTTTTGTGTTGTGGTTACTTGGTAGCTGCCTAATGTGGCATACAAATCTATTTATAGTTCAGTATGAGATTAAACCCACTGACTGCTTCATTGCCTGTTTGAGTAAAAGTAAAAAGCATAAATGATGGTGCACTCACCCGACTAAAATCTGAATACTGCTTGTCACATTTTTCATCCAGCTGAAAGAAAGAGAAGAAATATTCAAACATAGATAAAAGATTATTTTGAGATCACGCGTCATGCCTGGAGCCGTTTCTTCGTCTGTAAATCAGGGAGTTAGTCCAAGAGTTAATACACGGCTGTGATAAGTGCTGCATGTTCACAGACCATAAAGAGTTGACAACCAAACAAGCAATGTAACACTGAGTGATTCACACTCCATTAAAGAAGATTTTCCACATCCATGCAACACGGCAGCCAAACCAGCTGTGCTTACACCACTTATGTAGAGTCAATCAAAACACACTGTGGTATGAGTTTTGAAAACCAAGTGTTATTTTTAATCATGCATCTCTGGGGTTGCACACGGCACTCTCCAAACCGCTGTCGTAAAACTTACACTGTCAAGATCTGGAATGCTCAAATCATCGAGGTCAGACACAATACTGCCTCTTCGGTTGGTGCGGCTGAAATAATCAGCAGCCGACTCACTAATGTCGGAGAAGTCAGACGACTGCTCGGAACACACGCAGGATGAAGAAGAGAGGGATAGGGGCACAGAAATAAAGAATAACAGAGAGCCAAAGATGAAGAATCGTAGGAGGAAAAAAACAGGATAGAATGAAAGATTAGGCATTAAGGGAACTCAAAACGCATGATTGTGTTGTGACAAATGATGAGGTATTAATCTGAGGCTGTTATGCAGCTTATTATAATAAAATAAAAAAGGTTTGATTATTAGATTATCAACTAGTAGTACAGCATCAGTCCCTACAGCTCACCACACTGTCCCTGCGGCCTCGGTTGACGCGCTCCTGGGACACGCTGCTGACAGTGTCATCATCTGAAGAAGACTGAGAGGAACACGCACACGTACATATAAAAAACACACACACACACACACACACACAAGATGAGGAGTTGAAGTAATGTAAGATGGCTGCATGCCAAAGGCGTTCTCAGACACACACACACACACATTTCTTGTTCAAACAGCAATCTATAGAGAATAGGTAGCACTGTGCTAAACTGAATATTGGATTGCTCCCGAGACGGTGCAACTCTTACATGGGCCCTATTATGCTTTTTGGGGCTTTCCCTTTCCTGTAATGTGTTATATAGGTTTTTGTGAATGTAAATAGTCTTCTAGGCTAAAAATCATCAGTTCATGCCAGAAGGAGTTTCTCTCCAACAACCCCCCCCCCCCCCCCTGCCTGAAACACCTTAGTTGGACTCCTTTGTTTACTTCCGGAACATAGCGTCATCTCTATTGGCTAGTGCTCCAATACATTGTAAGTGATAGGCTAAGGGGCAGGACATCTCTAAGCGGTTGATCAATCACAACAGAGTCGGCCAGCTGACCAATCAGAGCAGACTGGGCTCTGGTTTCAGACAGAGGGTGAAAAGAGGTGCTGCAGTACAGGCAGTCTGAGAAAAATAAAGCGCTTTTTGAACATTACAGCATGGAGACACGTCCCAGTAGAGACACAAATTACAATATGATCCTGAAAATGAGCATAATAGGGCCCCTTTAAAGTAATGCCAATTCATGCAATTAGGACCATATGCCAAAAGCAGCGCTAAGGGAGACAAGACAACATCTCCCTCGCTACAATAGCTAAAACTAAAAATCGTCAATTCACACACTTTTATTTCAATTTCAAAATGCTAATCCCTAAAGCAAGTTGGTCGGGATGGCTGACCAACAAATGTCCCTAGCAGGAGTGAGGCATGGGGGTGTGATAAGCGTGTTAATAGAAAGGCACCAGCGTGTGGTGTTTGTTGAAACCATGCAGGAGGGCGGTGGTTTTTAGGTGCTCACCGCAGGGCTGCTGCGGGTGGAGCCGGCTCCAGAGGAGTACCAGCTCAATTCAGAGGGCTGTGGTAGCGGGAGGAGGACAGGACAGGCAAAACACGCTAGTTAGCTGCAGTGGTGGTGACTAAAACGCTGTTTAACAAACACCCAGAACAACTTACGGCTCTTGAACTTTGCCCCGAGCCGTAAAGGCCGGCGTCGTCGCCAATAGAGGCCTGAGGTCACACGTGGGAGACAATGAAGCAGATCACAAGAGGGCACATGAGTCTTTGACGTAGTAGCTAAGTTTATTTAGTATACTGACTTTTATCTGGGCCACTCAATAAACAGAAACACTGTGTATTTCCAACTTCAAGTAGGCCATTTGTTTCAGTGCTCTACAACAAAAGCCCTGGCTTCATGCAAACTTCTGCCTTATCTCAGTGAAGCACAAATGTCTGGACACCAACAAGTGTTCTTTGTCCAGGAGCTAAATATATAAAGTCCCCGCCAACCTGGGCATCCTATCAGATGTATGTGGCCACAAGAGAGGAAGAATGTGAAATTCTGAAGGTAACCAGAGGCATGCAGAGAGAAACTGACCATGCTGTAGCTACGAGGCAGCGCCGTGCCAGTGGTGGAGGAGGAGGAAGTGGCGGCCTGTCAGGGAGGATGGGATCAGGGAAATGTCAGATTAGAGGACAGAGGAAAGCTGTAGTGGGAATGTGAAGTGAGAGAGACTAAAGAGCTGCGGAAAGTGGAAACAGGATAAATGTTTGCTGACCGTTACATTTACGGTGGAAAGTGTTGAGAAGTGAGGTCATGTGACGATGTCCCTATCGACTGTTTTAATACAGATGGAGGATAACCACCTAAAGCAAGTCCTTTACATAAAGTCAAATGATCACAAGATCTGTATAATAGAGAGCTACACTAGCTGCAAACAATGACCCTCTTTTATTTGATTATTTTATAACACAAACAATATCTCTTATCGCAGTTATATAACAAGCTGTAACGCATATAAATGTCCAATAAACTAGACCATGCAGGTACGAATATACTGCCTGAACCGACTCTGGTTTCACTGAGTGTCTTTAACCACATTAGCTTGTTTGTGTAAAATGTTGGACAGGACTTTCAGGGGGACCGACCCGAGGAGTATAGGTGGAAGTGGAGGTGGAGGAAGGAGGCGTTGGTTTGGTCTTCGTGAGGCTGGTGTAGTTCCTTTGATCGTGGTAAAGTCCAGCCTGGAAGGGTAGTGACATAATATGACCTCAACCAAACAATGACATATTTATCCTCAAGTGTCAGACTAAGAACTTATTCAGACACATTCAACACGGATCGGTCAACATCTGCTTCACAACAAATAGTCAATATTTATCAGGGGTAAAGTCGATCAACAGTAAATCACCACCGCAAGCCACTATTATTAGTCTCTCCACTGCCTCCATGCTTAAGGCAGCAGAAAACAGTACGGGGGTAAACTGACCAGGAGGTCCTTCCTCGAGGAGCTGGATGAAGACCTTTTATGGTCGTGCAGGTCATTGTACACAGAACTCTAATCAGCCCAGAGAAAAATGATTAAAAAAAGGAAAAGAAACAAGTATACAAAATGACTTGAAGAAGCGTATAAGCAGTGATAAACAGATGACCGTCACACAGGTACATACAGTGGAGCGGGAAGTCTTGAGGGCGGAGCTAGTGGAGAGGGCATCAGACTGAAGAGAGGACAGGAGTCACAATAGTTATAATCAGAAGATCAAATACCTGAGAGGCTGTTGGGTTGCTGTTAGCTGTTTACTGGCAACACACGTGTTCCTCACTAACAATAGGTTAGTTGTTCAACAGGCAACAAGTCATCCAACACATCTACAGATCAAACCATTTGTTTTGTACACCCTACCAAGGCCACAGTAAAAGGTACAAAAGCTTTTGTTAGAGGCACTGTGCCCATTATAAGGTTTGTATAACGTTCTTACAGAATGCAACATCACATTTCTGTATCAACTATTGTAGACATTCCCTAAGTAATAGTGCTGAAAACAGCTCTGGCTTTCTGCTTTGGTATGTTTTGACAACATATAGGTGAAAAATGCACTAAATGACAATTCTAAATCAAATGTAGTGTCCTACAGAAAGACTGCATTTCCCTTTAGAAAGATAAGGAGAGATTCAATGTGGAAAAACAGATGATTGTTTTGTGATCTCCTTTTAGGTATAACTTCATCTATAATCAATGAATGTCTGATATGAAAGGGGACCAAGGTAACTTGCGTAGAAATCGATGAGTGGAAAACACGAAAGAAATATGAAATCAACACATGTTTTTGCTTCTAAGCACATCCTAGGTCATCCATCCAAGTGAATTCTGCTTAGCACCATAAAGTTAGCCAGACCTGAACTACATGCTGAGACTCCAGGTATTCAGTCAGTTTCCAAAATCCACACATTATCTCACACACATGCATACACATAACGCACCAACGGATCTCTTCTAAGGGAACTGGATCGACTCTTTGACCCAACGTCCCGTACTGATGATGAGGTTGACTTTAAATAAAAAAACAGAAGCAAAGGTAAGGGGAAATCTTAACTTGGCCAACTATTTTAGACTCTGACGCAAATGAACACTACCAATAAAAGTATTTCACCCAAATGTACTTTAATAAGTGCATTCCTAAGAAGAACAATGGCTTTCTCACATCACATCTAGGAGAGAGCAGTCTTAATAAAACTGGCAGGGGTTTATTATGCATTACGCACCCTGTAGCTGCGGACCGACATGACATCATCATCCAGCCCCTGCCCATGTGGAAACATGGAGTCACAGCAGAAAGGCAGACAGAGAGAGGAACATGTGTGATGAGTTACTAACTGCAGAATTAAAGAGGAAAGAAGAAAGGAAATGCAGACAGACAAAGAGGAAGTGTGTTGGGGAGATACAGACCCGGCGATGACTGCTGCTGGATATACTACTACTACTGCCTCTGGCTTTGTCTGAGTCAGCCTGGAGGGAGGAAGGACAAGTTTGAAAAGATTATAGAGAGAAAGTAGAGAGGCTCAGGGGTGAGTAAGGTCGCTGCAAAACTCAGCAGTTGCTATTCAAAAGCCCAAACCATGCAAAACAACTTCTGTCATCATGTTTATAACCAAATGGTTGTTATAAACATTTGAAAATGTTATCCTGCAGTGAGATTAATGATATACAACAACAGCTTATATATTGCACATTTTGGTCGTCTCTGTTTTTTTCCAAAAGGCAACATAACGGCACAAAATGAACATCTCTGCTTCTTGTAAAAACACCAACACGCATAAAGATTCATCCCATGCAAAAGTTGTTCACAAACATTCAAAAGCATCCATCCTTTCCAAGTAGCCTGGAGTTAGAGGAGTAACACAAACCACCTTCTTGCATGCAGACTCACCCAACCTAAATAAAGTCAAAGGCCAATGGTGGCGCTACGAATACACACACAGCCACACACTACAGTGTCTCCAAAGCAAACACACTGCTGCGGCACATTTCCACAGTGAGGTTCAGTGTTGTCTGTGAGTCAAGTGTAGCTCTATGGTCAGGCTTGACTGGGACTCAATCCCACACAACAGGCTGTGTTAGTGCAATACTCTCGCCTACCATCCACTGGTGGATCTGACCCCATTTTTTGTTGCTACTGCTGGATGACGTGTGGTAAGAACGCTGGACAGAGGGAGGAAGTGCCAGGAAAAACATCATACTTCACTTAAAGAAATGCTGAAACGTTAAAAAACTTGGTGACATTCACTTCAAGAATAGAACGTTTGGTTTCATCTGTGGACATGCAGCACTTTTTCTGTGGATATCTGTACAGTCAGATATATCTAAAAGTGTTTCTCAAGGCATAAAGCCAAATAGCTTCTCTGCACCGGTGACTATCAAGGCAGAAGAGCAGCTCAACAAATACAAAAATAGGAGAAATGAAGTTCCATCTCCATGTAGAATCTGCAGCTGACAGCAGCAGTTGTGAGGCTTTACACAAACTGGCTCGATGAGTTGAATAATGGTGACAGTGCATCTCAGCGAATCACGTCCGCTTCATGTTGTATACCTCTTTTTGCTGCCGTTCAAGCTCCCTCATTCGAATATCCCTGGCCTCGGCCCGAGCCGCCCGCTTCGCTGCAAGCCTCGCCTCCGCCTGTGAAACAAAACATGAACACACTTGTTAGCCATGAAAGAAATATGATAAACAAGCCTTTCCCTGAGTCACGCCCCAACAAGCGCAAGGGATAAACACAAAGGGCTTCATTAAAAAAAACTGGAGAATTCACAGGATCACATTGAAGTACTCAAGTCATTGGTTTCCTGTTAGAAAACGTGGAAAAGGCCGACGTTGAATTCCTTGTGTGCTTAAGTGTGGTTGTCTAGACCTAAAAGAACCAAGCTTCCTGGACTAGTTCGTTATCAACAAACCTTTTCATGATAACATTGACTTTATAGATAAGAACAGGGCTACGCCACTGCACGGCAACATTATGGCCCCGCCCACTTTCCGGTGAAAACAAAGAATCGGTCTGTCAATAGATACCATGTCTGGGAAACACCTCATCACAGCCAAATTATTATGCTAATGAGGTCAATCCTCGAAGTAAACTGTAAAATATGAAAAGTCGAGGTAATGAATGTAGAAGCTGCATTAAAATATAAACTGACAAATCCCAGTTTAAGGGTGTGCCACTCATCCACCGTTAGATTGAAAAAAAAATCTATTGCTTTTAATTCTGGCATATAGACGCCAATCACCGATGTACAATGACATGTGTAATTGTTTGCCTGATGGACCATTACATCAGGGCTCCGTGTAGATATAAAATGTAAGTCTTTTCATAATTTTTTTTTATGGGATTGGCAAAGACCTCAGAATTTGTATTTACCACCAGTTAAAGGACATTATAACGACGTAGAGGGAAAGTACCTGGATGGGTTGCTCTCATCTATGGTATGGATGCACAGTTTATTGTTTGAATAATTTATTGTTGACTGCTTTGTTTTCTTGGATATGAAATCTTGTTTGAAAGGGCAGTCATGTGAAGCATCAGTATAATGATTCAAGTCTATAATACCTGTTCTACTGACACAAAATGTATTTACTGTAATAGAAAATAGTTTCCTTTGAGAAAAACTAGGAAACTAGCAAAAATGTTGGCCAATATATATATACATACATCACCGGTATCACCATATATTTAGTCCATCACGAAACTGCAGTTAAGAAAAGCCAAAGATACATTTGAGGTAACTCAAAGACAGTGACTCATCCACATATTGTATCCACCTGAGAGCACTGAGAAGTTTTATTTTTCCTCTGTAAAATGTTCCACTCAGCACATCCCTGTCCAGCACAACAGAGTTCATTCTGTCCTGTGTGCCCTTGTAGACCAGTTTCGTGTGTGAGTCACGGCTCTGTAAGTCCTGTCCACAGTGAATGCTTGGGATGCCTCATCACCAACAACATGTGCTAACCATCAGTTTCAGGAGGGCTGATTTAAAGGCCTCACAGGGGAGATGCCAGTAGTGCACAAACAAACTGACAGAGAAACAGGATCAAGAGAAAACAAAGCGACACAATAGTGTAGTTATGCTGGGTCGGTAAACATGGAGGCGATTTTGCAACAACAGTAACTTAACATTAGGAAGTACAAACAAGCCAAAGTGAACTCAATCCTCTCTCCTGTGAGAATAGTGACTGCATATTTTGACTGCGACTAGTCAGAATATAACAAGAGCTAATTTTACAGAGTTCCTCAGCAGAAGGCTAATTTAGGCGAGCTCCCACACAGCCCTGAGGAGTCACACAGGTGACTGCAGACAATCCTTCCATTAAGTCCGTAATACCATTTACATTCCTTACATATTCTGAACATCCCACCAACAAAGAATGGCCCACTTGCTCATGAAGCCTAGCCCTTTATCTCTTACTAAAAGACAGTCCATAAATACAGCGTGTGGTGTGTACAGTATCTCGCTGCAGACAAACACTGTCAGCATTCCAGCAATTTCTGCTCTGCCAGAATAGAAGGCCTGTGGGTTATAGACTATTCCTCTTTCAATACTAGCCTGCAATACTGTTTTATATAACGCGGAACAACCACACAAATTCATGTTATTTTTTGCCTGAACACCTAGTGTTGTGTAAAAGGGAGTTTTAAACCTCGTTAATGTTAAAAACATTTTAGTAACAGACAAACATGTTACTGAAGCTAAGTTAGATATCAACATGAGGAGGAAGTGATCAGTATGCACTAAGACAGAATATAGTTTTAGTTATCTATAGTATCCATCTTGTTTTATAATGAGACTTTGATCTTACTTAACTTTCCTTCCAAAATGTGAAACCATGACTTTCAAATGACAGAATAAAACCCATATTTTAAATTTCATTTTCTTCACTGAGAAAGAATGAAAAAATAAATAGTGTATCATAAAATAATTGTGATTCTTTTTGTGTGTGAATAAGATAAGAAAACAAACTGCATGAAAACCAAACCGAAACCCCAAAACACAGACATTTAAATGGCGCTTTGCAAACTTACATGCAATTTGGGAAATTCCTATTGGCCGCTATGTGTGATTTTGGAGTATAACTTATGGTCATACAATGAAACTTTATACAATGTGAAAAGGGAAGTAAAGCTGTCTGAAGAAGAGGGAGCACATGAGGAAGAGCGACGGCTGTCCCTGTGCTCTGCACCTGTCGAGCTGTCTGACAGTGTGACCCGCTCTCACAGCAGCACAGCTGAGCTCTCTGTCTCCGTCCTATCTATAGCCCGGACCGTCCGGCCCCCAGCCGTATCATGGGGCTAGGAGGGGTAACATGAGCACCAGAAGTTCACCATCACACACACCTCCAGCACTCTGAGCAATAAAAGTCCAGAAACCCAACATGAGATCACCTGGAACCCTCCCAACACTGAATTGTGTATGCACTGAAAGTACGATCAATTCATAATTATACCCTTGTTAGGGTAGCTCCAATGAAATGTATGGATTCATCCATTTTGGTGTTTAATATATGCAAGTAAAAGAATGTTGGTTAAAAAAGTAAGACCTCAGGATAAAGGTAATCAACAGAAAAAGGAACTATTCAAATATTTTAACAGTATACTGCAATTTTAAAACTGAAACAAAAAGTGCAGTGTTCAACAAATATTACAAACCAATAAAAGGACAAATTGTAAGTAAGAAAAAGCATGACCAGTTTCATTATTTTGGTCACTATTGCTGTATGTATGAGCTCATTACTCTACAAATGAAAAAAGGAAACTAGCTTACAATAGATATATCAATGGAAAGTGTTTGAATGGGATACTTTCACATCCTCAATAATACATAAACTCCCCAATAATCCCTGGCAGTTCAAACAACAAAGACACTGCTTATTGCCAATTCAACTCAACTTTCCCTACATACTGATCACCAAAAAGGCACCGCAGCATTAAAGTTGGTAAAAGCGGCTCCTAATAATTTGATTACATTTGTTTTAAGCACATAGATAGCTTTAAATAAAGGCCAGTGCAGTCACTCTAGGTTCACTCCCCTGCTCTACGCTGTGTAAATGACTAACCTTTGAGTGCCTTGTCCAACATAAAAAATACATTAGACTGTCCTTGATTGCTTGCTTTTAGTACAACTAAAAAATACACTTTAAATGTATAAAAAAAAAACTAAAACCAAATACCGTTAGAAAGCTTGCATTATCAAGGAAGGAAGTCAGAACAATGTGATAGTCCTTGTCCATCATTTGCAGAAGGAAGCTTAAATAGCTGCTTTGTTTTCTGAAGTCTGAACAGTGTCCTAACCGTACACGGAAATGAAAGTGTTTCACTCTCCATTGCAATAATGACCTGTTGATATCACAAATAGGAGACTATGAACTATAGCTTCCACACACACCCTCAATGATTGCTTCAATGATTGGCGACAGGTATGAGATGTTCATCTAGTTCTAACACTGTAATATTTCTTAGCAAGCTGCTGGTATTCAAAGGGTTTGACTCCCAGTAATGTAAGAGGCCTCAGAACTGAGAGAGCTGGTGACGGTGCAGGCTCAAATTCACAGTCATTCTCAGCAGTGATCCGTGCCAAGCACAGGCAGGCTTGAACCTTGTTTCTTAAACAGCAACGGACAACACAAGGCTGCTGTGATTTGAATATTTGTTTTGGAGTGTGTTGATTGGCAACACGTTAGACACTGACCCAATGAACTCCCTGAACAGTTGATCTAATCTTTCTTCGCTCCACAAAGAGATTCACATTTAGGACCTGACTGGGAGGGTCAGATGACTCATGTTTCTATGATCGGCCTGCATGACTATAAAGAGAGCAAATGGAGCCTTGTGCTTAGTGCAGGCACTGTATGGATCAAGCATTCTTAGTGCAAATATTAATGAATTTGAAGTTTTAACCAGTGTTTTATTTCTACATGTAAAATCAAAAGTTTTCAAACAAGGTGGCTTTTTCACCTCACTAGCATAAAGGTCATTAAACTCTGAAAACTGAGCTTTCCATTTCATGATGTTAGTTAACTCACTCTGAAAGAAAGGCAAAGGAATGGCAGCCCTGCGGTTTGACAAAATGGAATAATCCCAGGGCATGTCGTTACAGGCTAGGCTGCTTCTCTGCTCTGCCAGTGTTTTTCCCCCCCAAACCAAAACACTACAAGTTAAGTCAGTCTCTCTCTGGTCCAAACCAGCTGTCTCTACTCACTTTGGCTAAAACTCAAATTATCCAGCAGGACCTGAATATCCACATTTAAGCAGCTTTCCAAAACCCACTGACCCAACTTTGACCACGTTACAAATCAACATAATTGATAGCGTAATAATTACCTGTTTCTGTCTCACTTAACATGGGTGTTGACATATTATCTACTAGGTTATACTTTGTATGTAATTCCTAACCTGCTCCCAGTTTTCAAGAAATAATCCAGGTGTGCTCAAAAGCAACAAGTCTGAAAGAAAAATCCTAATAAACTGTAAAGTATTCTAAGTTAAATGCTCAAAATCTATTTGGATAGTTTAGTTTTCCCTATCTACGAATATGACAATTTCATACATTTCAAGAAAAACGTGACACAATTAAACAGTATAACACTCATCAAAGCACTCTTTTGGTTAAGGTAATGATACAACATGGACTATAGATGCACCCGGAAACAGCCTACATATACACATCTATCTTTGGAAATACATTCCACATAGATTTTATCTTAAAAGGTTTATCTTCCATCCACAGTGCAGTGTCAGCCAACCCTGAGTGCACATAATGGTTCCAATAATCTAGTAGCCATGTTCCCTTTTGTTGAAAATATGATGATGCTGCTGAACAAATTAAGGCCATCTGAGACTGACAAATCATTCCTCTACATATGCCTAAACCCATTATCTAAATGAATATAATCAAGACAATTTGAGTTAGAAAATCATATTAGCATGGATTAAGCAATGCATGAATATAGCAATGATGAAGAATATGGCCTAGATCCAGTGTACTTTGTTCCAAAATGGAAAAGACATGTGATGGAGTTTGTTCTTACCTCCCGGGCTATGCTACTCAAGGCTTCATCTTCTGCTGAGAAGCGGTCTTTCAGTGGAGCACGCTTTCTACCAGAGCCTTGTGTCCCCATGTTGCCTGCAACTGTAGCTCCAGCGATGATGTGTAAGTCCAGAAGATACACAGAACTGTGTGTTTTCACCTATGAGGATAAACAAGAAACACAAAGAACACTTATGAATGGTACTTAAACAAAGCCATGTGTGAATGAACATAATAGCACAGGTCCATTCTCCAGTTTCAACATTTTATTGTGTACGGTTTTATGCACTCTAATCTCTCTAACAACCAAAACACTACTCATCTCTTGTTTCCATTCATGCAAACACACGTATGAATGGCTCTTACATAGCTTTGGATCAGTTATGGCTGACATGAACCAGCCTTTAAATGGCATGCAGAACAACTGCAGCTTTATAGCAAAGATAACATTACATTAAACAACAGGTAATGAGGTCTAAGGATCGTATAAGAACATTAAGCTATACATTTTTAACTGATCTGAAACATGATTATCATTAGATGGTATTACAGTATTCTGCATCATCCAGATGATATGTATTTGATAGACGTTCAGGAAATATCAAAGTTTGCAGATCACCCAGACAAAAGAGCACCGTGGCTGGCTGGTAAAGACAGGGGGAAAACGCCTAGTTTGAGACCCAGCTGAGTCAGAGGACCCAAGCGAAGCATGAGCACTCCTTGAAGACGTTTGATGATCTGAAACCCTTGGATCCATAGCTCAAAATAACCAGTGTGACCCCCTCAGAAACGCTGGCTAACAAACAAATGAATACGGATAATCCTTTGTCAATTCAAAACAGGTTGATGCGTTACTATTAGTTTATGTTAATCATCCAACTTCAGCTATGGTTAACTTTATGAGTCATTGGCGCTTACGCGGTCGGTTTTCCAAACATTCCCAAAGCTTCCATTACAGTCCCATGTCCATTAGGGTAAACGGATAGTAATATACTCACCTTAGCTAGCAAAGTTGCGCCAAAGTAAGGTTTATGCCCCGTTAGCCTTAGCTAACAATAGCTAATTATACTGACGTTAACGTTGACTAGAATTAGCCAGTTCAATGGTAAGCTAACTAAGAGTGCTAACTAGCATTTCATCTTAACAAAACCCTTATTTAAAAGTTAGCTACCCTTCTAGGTTCTTCCTCCACTACCGCTGAAGCTAGCGCTTAGCAAAAACGAGACATATCCACACCATGGATCCACACATGTCCTTTCTACAGCAATGACCCCCAGCACCGAACACAATCTCTGGGAGTCAAGGCTAGGCTAGCTGACCACTTTAGCTTGGGAGTTAGCTTGGATAGCCAGTGGGGCTAACCTCGACTCTCCTGAGAGGCAGACAGGGCAAACTGGCACTGATCCTCCCGTCTTATTCCCTATCCCAAAAATATAACGTTACCTTCGCGACACCTTTAAATAACCCGCGATACTGCCAAGGAGTTGTCCCTTTTCTCCTGGAGGTTTAGGGGCGAGCCATTCGGCTTCTCGTCAGAGATTAGTAGTGTTTTTGTCCACACTGACAGCTGTCATCAGTCCGCCTTTCCACCGCTCTCCACTGCCCTCCTCACCCAGTTTCCACACACACTAGCGGCTTCAAAGGTCCCGGATGTTGGGAAAAATTAGGGTGTGATGCTGCATTCACGGGCCGTCAGACACACTGAAATATCATAGCCTACTGGGAGAGAGTGGGTTTCCATTGAGTGGTCAGGTATAACAGCTAGGTGACTCAGTATAAGGATTTAGAGGCGCGCATGATGGAAATTGTTTAGACAAGCAATGAGATTAATTTCTGGTAACCGTTATAATATAATATAATAAACGTACTTTAAAGCACAATGTATTGCTTCTGTATATCTGTTGAAGTTCAGTAGAAGCTTAAACAATTCATGGAAGAAAGAAAGAAATAGAGTCGGTTATTTTAAGCCCTAATAACTTCAATAACATAACAAATTAAGTAAACGTGCGAATTTAGCAACCTTTGTATTGGACCAATTATAAGCCTGTAGGCCTATACATGACTGAACATTGGGTTCACAATATTTTAAGGTTCTGTCCTTATTGTGTTTTTTTTTACCAGTTTGTTTTCAAAATAAGTGCTTTTAAGAAAGCCTAATGTAATACTGTATTTAAAATTAGGCACATTCTTTACCTTGACATTTTTATCTCATAAATTGCCTATGTATATAGCATATAATGAAAAATAAACTATATTTTTGTACTGCTTCCCCCAATAGAGCTCACATAATTATTGCATACATTTGAATTAATGCATTTACAAACTGCTACACATTTTATTTGTTAGTTGCCTACAGGTCACAAAACAGCCCTTATTAATATACAATGTATCAGATGTAATAAAATACAAAGTCTGAGTATTAAATATTGTTATACCAATATAAAATATCCATACTCATTTGACCCTAGAGCACTAGGGGAGGGCAAAATGACTGTGGTATTTTTAGGGTTTGTCCACAAGAGGGCAGTAGCTGATAATGGATTCTTCTTGCTTGTGTTACATTTTATACTAAATTTGAAGCATGCAGCCCTACACCACATGTACATGGATATGTTCAAATATAGGATTGCGTTTCAATGACCAGTTACCTTGGAATGTGTTTGCAAATAGATCAATCAACTATTTATTCCGATGAAGTATAACAAATGTAAATACATATTTTAAGGTTTTTCAAACAAAGTTAAAAAAATACACTCATAGATGTATATATTGAAAGGATAACATATTAATCTGAACCTTCTTGGTGTTTATTTGTACACATACACCAATGTGTATGAGTGCAGAACAGCAGAATAACGTATTTTATTGCCAACAATATGCAAGCAGTATAACTGCTTTGTGTGCCTTGTCTCTTAATGGGGACTTTAATTTGGAAGACCTACACTACAGCCTAAAGAGCCTGCATGGGAATCCCCCCCCCCCCCCCCCAATTGACACTCATAACCCAGGTGTTATTCAGTCGAATACACACACACACACACACACACACACACACACACACACACACACACACACACACACACACACACACACACACACACACACACACACACACACACACACACACACACACACACACACACACACACACTTGCTGTATTATTCTCCATCATTACAGGAAGCTAATGACTGTTTTGTCTCTGATCTGCCCTCTCTCTCTCTCTCTGTGCTCCCGTGCAGACAGGGTTTACTGGAGTCTTAACCCAAAGACACCAGCAGCCACACTGTCTCCATGCTACCACTCCTCTTGGTGAACTTTCCATGTAGTCATCACTTTAAACACTAATTAACCTTAATTTCACAGTCATAATGATAATAAGGGATCACATCTAAATAGACAACAGATGCATTACACTGGATTCAGTTGATCAAACTGTAATCACATTAATTACAACTCTATTGCCTTTTCAGTTGCAGTGCTGACAGTTACGAAACTGGAAAAACAAACTGACTATATCAACATTAAAACCATTATGAGGTCTGCTGTTTGGAGAACTGGTTTTGCTTGCTTCATTCAGTCCTGAGATAATATGATATACAATAACAAGCAAAACAATCATGTGATTTAGTATTCCAATCTAAGCAAGTGAAGACTTTATTGAGGAAAGAAATGTGCGAGCATTTTTGGACAAGCCAAAGGTGGAAGTAGTGGAGAGAAACAGGAGGCCTAAAGGCATCCAGACAGACAGTGCTTAATTGTGTTTGTCTAGTTTTATGGCCCTTTTAACTCATAAACACTCAGCTTGTTTTCCTGGCACAGGCAGACAGGCATGTACTCAGCTGCACCAACCCTGAAGATGTAATTTCCCCTTAGTTTTTGTCTTTTTCAGTGTTCACCTCATTTGTTAATCTCATATTAAGCAGTGTGCTACAGCATGTGTTTTTGTGTGAGCATGAGGGGGGATTTGTATAATTTTGGATGGCATGCCCCACCAGTCGGTGATCTTTGGTTGAAAGCGCCTCCCACTGCGCTAACAGGACTGGGTGAATTGTTAACTGGTCTGTCTTTAAGCCTGACTCTCCACAGAAAAAGGAGCAGAAACTATGGAGCCCCAACTTGTAATTACCCCATGGAGGGCAATGCTCCCTCTCTCCCTCTCCTCTGGAGCCCTTTGAAGATGCCCCATAGGGAGTTGGTTGTAATCAGGACACATGACTCATTGATTACTCCTCCGCGGTCTTCCAGGAACACTGGACAAGGAGTGGACGCAGCAGGGGGGAGGGTAGTCCCCTCAGACATAGGCCCGAGGTGCAGATGCAGGATGAACAGCACGGCCTAGGCCTTGGACACAAATGAGATGCTGTAAACAATCGGATGTGCATTGTTTTTCTGCTGGTTAGCGCAGTTGGTGTGTTAAACTGGCTATTCATTACTGTCTGGAGCAAAGATGAGCAGCCATATGCCAAGGAAGTCTTAAAGTGTGCAGGTCTTCTTACCAGCCAAACTCATTAGTACACCTATTAGTATTGTCAGCCGGGGAGAGGAGGAACTAAACTGTGAATGCACCAGCACACAAATAAAAAACGACATATTATCAAATACAAAGTAAACCCACAGTGTAGAGAACATCCAATCTATAAGCACTACATTAATATACAATGTTTGTGTATTTTGTCTAATGACCCGGCGTGATGTACATTTAATACAATACTTGCAATATGTTTTGAGTATGCCACTTTAATACCACATCATTATACTGTAAACATGTTGAAGGCAGTTTTGCAAACAATCTGTTGAAAGTGGCCATATTACACCAAATGAGTTCTCATGGCTCTTCATGGGAAAATGTTTGCCTGTCCCTGAAACATGTAATTAGTCTCATAACCTGTACTTTTACCTCCCTCTCTTTACCACATTTCTTTTCTTTTTTTCTTGCAATGCACTCAGTTGAGTGTCCTTAAATTGAGTGTCCTTAAACTGACTCAATATGTCACGCAGAGTACAGCAGAAAGAGTTATGAAATACCAACAACAACACAACTGTGTCTTATTGTGTGAAACCAAAGGCCTGTGCAGGTTGTTTTTTTAGCCAGCTGGACTTGCAGTACATTGTTAGAAGATGCTTCGTTTAGCATTGAGAAAGACGTCTCTGGTAAACAGAATAGGCAAATCTAGTAGAGCATAAGAAATATCATAAAAGATGTCTTTTGATGTTTCTAGGCTTGTACTCTGGACACCTGTGGGGCTGAACCCAGTGACTGGCTGTCCTATGTGAACATGTTGAGTAGAGGTAATTGGGTCATTACTTGCCAAGAAGCTGAATTAAAGCCTGCGGCAAAGTTTGAGGTGGTGAACATGTGAATTAATTGCAGAAATATAGACATAAAAAAGCATTACACAACCACCTGTTTTTGTTCTCCCTCAGCTCTCAAAATTAAACTGTATTTTGTTCGTTAGCGGTCATGCATTACTTAAATGACAGCTTCTATTTGGATTGAATTGTCGTTTGCCAGTGGAGCATTGTGGATGTCTTGGTTTCTCACACAGGTCTCTGTGGGAGAGCAATACTGACGTGGGGTGCGTCGTTCAGGCCTGTTCACATGGCGAAACAAGAATCAGAGGAGCGTGGAGCTGCAGACAAGCTACACACACACCCAGGTCATTGTTGATGACCACACTGGAACAATAGTAGTCTTGAAGTCGCAGAAACAGCCTGCAGCAGAGAAAGTTCAAAAGCCAATGAAGGAATGCTGTCCACTTACCAGAGTCTCATTGGTCACATTGTGTGTTTATCTTGTCAGAGATGAGGATCTTTTGTGCTGCAGATGATATGTTTGCGTGTATATCCTTTACTTGCTTGTCTCCATTCATATTGTGATTGCTAGATGATAACATGTCAAGCATTCAAAGTCTGCGTGTTTGTGTTAAAAACAAACCATAAATAAGATAACTGTCATGCAGATAGTGCGTGTGTGTGTCTTCCTTTGCATCTGTGTGTTTGCAGGATTTCAAATGATGAGTATTGTTCAATGCTGCAACCATTTAAAGGTCTTTAATTCTTTATTTACCTTCATTTAGCATCTTCTTGCCTCCTGCGCTATATAAAGAGAAGGGTCAGCCTAATCAGGGTCTTCTTTTGGGGGGTGTGCTGGGCTTATTTGCCAGTTGACATTTGGTGAAAGGGTGTTAGCTGAAAAAAGCACCTCACACCATGAGGTAGGAGCCTCACGCCAAAACTCATCACAGTTTTGTTAGTGTGTAAAGAGGAACTCGTTTCACTGCTCTGGACTCAAAGCCCAACACACTCTTCTCTGAGCTGTGTGAAGTGTGTTGCCCCGTGCCCATGCCCATAACCTTCACTTTAAAACAAATATTATTGGTGTTATTTAGAAATTCTATACCATGGTAACACAGGAGTTACAGAGTATTTAAGGAATACAAATAATAATCATATAACGTATTATAGGTATTATCTAAGTATTGGTTCTTATATATATTAATGTTTAGTTTAATGTTTGCTCACCACAGGGATGTGATGTTTATCTAGGAGGCCTTTTTCTAAGGATAAAACACTGTTTTAGTGCTGTCTCTCTTTGTTTTTCAGTCTTTCACACTTTTATCTTTAAAGAGGAAATATTAAACAAATGTTCAGGTTTCATAATTGTATTTTGTGCCTCTACTGTGACATGTTTACATGCTTTAATGT